GGCGAGTTCTCCATAATGAGCCACCCTAATTTTTTTCGCAAAAAGTTGATGACAGAGTATTCACATGAAGGGCAGAAAAAATAAAGCTGAAGCAACGAATCAACAAGCTACAGGCCCCAAAAACTGAAGATATGGTCAACCTTTGACGCTGAAAGAGAGAATCATTGACAGGTACATAGTTATCATGATGAGAGCGACCCACATTCACAAGTTTTCAATATATCAAAAACTACGCAAGTCACCAAAGGTAGAGTTAGTTGTGCTACGCATTACAATTAGGTCTCCCATTCTTTTGTCCCAAGTCCTAATCAAGGCAAACTCAAACATTATGCACAATACCTTCACATAGCAGAGAGAAATTCTAGAAGTAGCTTCCAATCTAGATAGGTCCAAAGGTCCACATCCATAATTCACAAGACAACACAAGCTGATGCGCAAATTCAAAGATAGCGCGAATGGTGCATACGATCAAATCCGCACCGAATTACTTCTACAACAAGAAAATAAAGGGGCGTGTGCAAATTCGGTTCCCGAACATCTACATAAACGTAAAGAGTAACAGAAGAAGATATAAAAATCACATAAAAGAAAAGCCTCCACATGTATAGCCTTGTTGTCGCGTTTTCAGACATTACTCCCTCTAAACCTTTCGCCCACACGTTTCCGAACAGAACAGAACAGCAATTCTAGCTGATGAGAAAAGACACCAGCACTCACCAACTTCATGTTAGCAGTAAACGCAGCAGAGCTCGACCAGCATTACGGAAAACCAAAATGATAAATAACCCAAATAGCTATCAAGAAAAACAACCACGAAAAATGGGCCGAAAAATAGAAAAACCAAAATTATTTTTGCAAAAAGTTGTTGACAGAGTATTCACATAAAGGGCAGCAAAAATAAAGATGAAGCAATGAATCAACAAGCTACAGGCCCCAAAAACTGAAGATACAGTCAAACTTCGACGCTGAAAGAAAGAATCATTGACAGGTCCATAGTTATCGTGATGAGAGCGACCCACATTCACAAGTTTTCAATATATCGAACACTACACAAGTCACCACAGGTAGAGTTAGTTGTGCTACGCATTACAATTAGGTCTCCCATTCTTTTGTCCCAAGTCCTAATCAAGGCAGAACTCAAACATTATACACAGCACCTTCACATAGCAGAGAGAAATTCCACAAGTAGCTTCCAATCTAGACAGGTCCAAAGGTCCACATCCATAATTCACAAGACAACACGAGCTGGATGGGCAAATCCAAAGGCTGCGCGAACGTTGCATACGATCAAATCCGCACCGAATTACTTCCACGATGAGACAATAAAGGGGCGTGTACAAATTCGGTCCCCGAACATCTACACAAACGTAAAGAGCAACAGAAAAGAGAGAAACAACATCACATAAAAGAAAAGCCTCCACATGTACAGCCTCGTCGTCCTGTTTTCACACATTACTCCCTCTAAACCTGTCGCCCACACGTTTCAAAACAGAACAGAAGAGCAATTCTAGCTGACGAGAACAGACATCAGCACTACGGAGCGGAGCGAACGGAACACAGAAAACCCAAACAGCTACCAAGAAAAACAACCACGAAAGAAATGGGCCAAAAAGAAAAGAGAAAACCGAACCTGATCTCTAGGGCACGGCTGAAGCACTCGGTGGCCTCGACGTAGTTGCCGTCCCTGAGAGCTCTGGAGCCGCCCTCCATCAGCTCGTCCGCGAACCCTAGCGACTTATCCCCGCCGCCGTCGCCGTCGGAGGTCAGGACGGAGCTCTCCGGCTTGTCGCCGCCGCCGCCGCCGCCGCCGCTGCTGCTGTCGCACGCGGAACCCGCCGCTCCCCCGGGAGGATCGGATTCGGCGGCGGCCTGGTGGCCGGGGGGAGGCGGGAGGGGCTCCGGCGAGATTGCGGCCGACGCTTCCGATTTGCTGGAAGCTGCTCCTTCTTCTTCCACCATTGCTGACGCTCTCCCTCTCTCTCTCTCTCTCTCTCTCTCTCTGCGCACGCTTTGATTTTGCAGAAGAAGAACAAGAAGAAGAAGGAGAAGAAGAAGATGAAAGAGAGGGTTTCGGTTCCGTGCGCGCCCCCCCTTCAAAAACCCTTTCCGGCGCAAATTCGTTAAAAAAAAATGTGGGAAATTATGTTCCTTTTCCAATAAAGCAAAAGGGAGACAAAAAAAAAAGGATAAGTGCACTAGAAGTCCTAAAACTTATCACAAAAGTGCAATTAAGGGCTCGTTTGGCAACGTACCAAACAGTGAAAATTTCTGTTCTTTTGTTCCCAGAAATAGTTTGGGAACAGAAATGCGTTTGGTAAACTTTTTGTTCCCGGACACATTTTTGCAAAAATTTGTGCCGAGAAACAGTTTTGGAAGAGAAACAAGAAGTAAAAAAAAGTTACTTCTTGTTTCTTGGCACAATTTTGAGAATCAGTTTTTTTTTCTTCTTTTTCTTTTTTTTTTTTTCTTATTTTTGTGTTGTTCTTCCCAGGTTAGGCCGGCCACGTGACCGGCCATGACCCAGGGCCGGCGAGGGCATCACGGCCCTCGCCGTGCCAACGGAGGCGAGGGTGAGGGCCGGACCCTCGCCGCTGGGCGAGGCGGCCTCGCCCGAGACGGCGAGGCTCGGCCTCACCCACCTGGCGAGGCCGAGCCTCGCCGTCGCGACCCACCTGGCGGCCGACCTCGCCATGGGTCGCGACGGCGAGGCTCGGCCTCGCCACATCTGGGCGAGGCTGAGCCTCGCCGTCTCTGGGCGAGGTCGTCTCGCCCAGGCGGCGAGGGTCCAGCCCTCGCCCTCGCCTCCGCCGGCCCTGGGCTGTGGCCGGCGACCGGCCATGGCCAAAGAAGAAAATGGGTAGAAAAAAAAAATTAAACAATTCAAAAATTATTAAAATATTATTTGGGAACAGAAATTTTGTATAGTTACCAAACGCATTTCTGTTCTTTTCTACTCTAGGAATAGAAATTTTGGTCAGTTTATCAAACGCCTTCAAATACTGAGAAATTATTTCCGGGCACAGAATAAAAAAATATCATTTATGTTCAGAAATAGTTCCTAGGCACAGAATGGTATTCATGCGCACCCTAAGTCCTAAAATTTTCAAAAAATGCAAACAAATCCTAAAACTTGTCATGAAAGTGCACTTGAGTCCTAAAACTTTCAAAAAGTGCAAATAAATCCTAAAACTTGTCACGAAAGTGCAAACAAGTCCTAAAACTTGTCACAAAAGTGCAAATAAGTCCTAAAACTTTCAAAAAGTACAATCAATGGAAGGACTTGATTGAATCAATTTGACAAGTTTTAAGACTTGTTTGCACTTTTTTAAAGTTTTAGGACTCAAGTGCACTTTTGTGACAAGTTTTAGGACTTGTTTGCACTTTTTGAAAGTTTTAGGACTCAATTACACTTTCGTGACAAGTTTTAGGACTTTGAATGCACTTATCCCAAAAAAAAAAGACTCGCACTTTGTTTCTGGCCCCCCGAAAATTCTTGTTTTCTTGTTTTCATTTCAATCCCTGTGGTCTTACAACTTGCGTTAATCAATGGGTTAGTATCACGAAAAACTCTAAATCGATATATTTATAATAAATTTATCCAAATTAATCTTTTGACCAATAAAAATCACAAATCGGTATACTCGCGATAAACATACGTTTTTTTTTTGCTAGAAGCGATAAACATACGTTAATTTCCATTGAATTAGATACAAACAAGTACATACACTTGTGACACATAAAGGGTAAAACACCAAATCGGTACGCCCATCGATTGCCACGTGTCATTCAACTCGGCAATTTAATGGTAAAATTTAACAGAAACTAACGATGGGGTAAATTTATCACATGTGTACCGATTTGGGGTTTCTGTTGGTCAAAATATTAGTTCGGAGTAAATTTATCATAAGTGTTCCGGTTTGGAGTTTTTCGTGGTATTAATCATTACCTATTCCCTCGAAATTCAACCCGTTGAAGCACAGGATTAATGCCTTGTTTGTCTCGGGAAAAATGAATGATGTAAAAAATATTTTCTTAAAAATGATGGCTTGTTTCACTTATAAAAATGAATGAACGAATAATAATTTTATCGTCAACAAAAATTTCAGATATAAATAAATGTTATCCATTGACTAGTTATTTCAAGCGATACATACGATTAATTTTAGGATAACATTTTCCAAGTCATTTATTTTTCGCGAATGAAACAAGGGTCGACAGGCTTCGGCGAGGCCCAAGCAACCTCCGCCGGCCATTTTCGGTGATGGGCAGCGGCGACATCCATCAGTGAGGGCTTATTTCTCCTTCTTTTTGTATTTGGTTGATCCTTTTTAAGAAAAGTTTGAAAAAGAAAATAATAAAAATCGAGAGAGAAAGTAAAAAAAAACCGCTTCGTTAGCATTTCTCGTTTGTCAAGTTGGACAGAGTTAACGAAACATCAGCATTTTTCGTTTGTCAAGTTGGACAGAATTAACGAAAGGATTTGATTGTACAATGTGCGTTTGCTTCACGGAAAATGTAACGTTTTTTAAAAATATTTTCCGGAAAATCATTTTCCAGGGAAAATAGTTAGTTTTCCTTTGTTTGGTGATATATGATCGAAAACATTTTCTGGTGTTTGGATCTCATTTGGAAAATGGTTTCAATCCCATGATTTTATCCGAGGCAAATTTTTTTTTCGAACTTTTTAAATGTTTTTATTTTTTAAGAATAAAAAAAAGAAAAAGAAAAGCAGAAAAGAAGAAAGAAATGAGAAGAAAGAAAAGAATAAAATATTAAAAAAAAAGTAAAGGAGTAAAGGAAAGCAATTCCGAAAAGTGTTTTCATCATTTTAGATTAGAGGATTCACTTTCTTAATTTTATACACGAATATTTTTTTTTACCGGAAAATATTTTCGGTCGACTAATTATTTTCGATGAACCAAATGGATAAAAGTCCGGAACACGGATTCCCGAAAAATACTTTTTTTCGAAACAAATGCACCCTGAAGGACTTATTAATCTATTATAGCATTTTCCGTGCGCTATCACCATTTTGTGGACGTGTGATCAACATGCGTTGGTAAATTGTATGGAAGAACTTGGGAAAGGAAAGGAAGTGATGAACCTCCACCGCACATTCCTCTCTCTCTCTAATCTCTTGCCGTCGCCACTTCGTCCCAACACCACCCACCAGCAACAAGCTCCAGCAGCATTCCAATGGCTTCCACAGCATCCGCTCTCGTCCGAACTCTCTCCCTCCACCAAGCCCGCGGCAAATCCCGCCCCCTCCCCGCGCCCCTCCGTCCCACGCGCCCCGCCGCCGCCGTCCTCCTCCCCGGCCGCCGGCAGATGGCGCTCCTCCTGGCGGCGTCCACGGCGCTGACCGCGGCGCCGCGGCCCTCGGCGGCGGCGGCGGCGCAGGACATCCCGCTCTTCGGGCTGCGGAAGAAGCTGAGGAAGGCGGAGGAGGAGGCGGAGGAGATCGTGAAGGAGGGCTTCGAGGTGGCGGAGAAGGGGATCGAGGCGGCGGAGAAGGGGATCGAGAAGGCGGAGAGGGGGATCGAGACGGCCGAGAGGGAGATAGAGGCCGCGGTGAGCTTCGGAGGTCTGGCGCAGGCGGGTGCGGTGGCCGCGGCGGAGGTGGTCGGGGTGCTGGTGGCGACGTCGGTGGTGAACGGGATCTTGGGGCCGGAGGGGCAGAGATCGTAGAGAATTCGAGCGACAATGGGCTTCTATATTTTTCAGATGGTTGCGTTGGACATTGATTGATTTGGTTCCATTAAGTGTATGATAACGTGAATAATGGCTTTGATTTTTGGTTGTGATACAACCATGTGTCATCTGGTAGTTCTTATGATCGAAGTAATTTACATGTTATGTGGCTTTTGGTAGTGACAAAAATTGGAACATTTTGGCACGTTCTTTGTTCATAGTCCCCCTCATGGGTCTTTTGCTAACAATGTCCTAAGCAATCAATGAACATTCAAGAAAAAACTGTGGGAACGAACGGTATATTTTCTTGGTACGAAAATTGAAAATAAATCTTTTTCTTCGGAGAAGAAGAGGGATTTCGAACTACTCCACCTTTCCATTTCAACGTGAGAATAGTGGCCATCGGGTGTGGTTGACTTACCCTTTGGTTTCCCCAAAATTAAAAATAATTTTGAGGGAAATGAACTTTTTGCTTATCCAAGTAAAGCTTTTACAAAGTTCATCATAATCAAGTGCTTTTTGGGTCGTCCTTTCTTCCACTATTGCCCCTTATTTTTTCCCTAAAATCTGGACAAAACAAAGAGTATCTAGGTAAATTCACTCACGTTATCTCCCTCCATTATCTTTCTTCTTCAGTCCACGTCCAAACAACATAAGTTCAATTAAAAGCTTTGCTCCATTTTCTTTCCTTCCACTTCCTTCCTTTTCTTTTTCCTTCATTTACCCCTTACAACTTGCAAAACCAAACGAAGTGTTCATGATCTCTCTACATAGTGCATGCCCTCCACTTGAACCAAAAAGTGTCACACATCTCTTGAGATCAACCACCCATGGTCCTTGTGATTTCACAAAGACGATATACTGTTGTTTACACCAAAAATCGATACAAGTATCGACAGTGGTAGAACTCATAACTGACTACAAATAATGATTATTAATGACATTGAAATACAGCCATCGATGCACGATGGTGAATGGTCGACGGACATATTGATGTGATGACAAAACCATGTTACAAGAAATTTGGCTAGGGGTTGAATGCGGGGAAATAAGAAAGGAGACAAAAGAAATATGCCAATTGAAAACAATATGTCGATTAACGGTTGAGCTCAGCGGTACTTAAGGAGTTATAACCACGTGTGAATAAGGTCGACGTGCGATCATGAGGCCTAAAATTGTGGAATTGCAATTGTAACCGCATTTTGAGTGTTAACTGCTAATAATGAGAAGTTATGTTTAGTAGATCATAAAAGGCAGCATGTAATTATCATAAATGAATCGACACTCATCAAGAACAAATTCTCTATGTATAATCCAACCAAACATTCTCTCCATCATCAAGGGTGAATCTTGCCCCGAATCATTCCCTGTCCACAGTAGCTTATCAGCTTCATCAGGCTTATATGAATTATGAAACGCCTTGCTCCAGATATAGGAGGGAAACGTAGCTCACTGCAATAAATCACGAATAGAGAGTCAACGACAACACGTTCATCCAGTCGCTCTGTCAGTCAGAGCTTCGGACAAAGATGAACTGGTGGCGTCAAGATAATCACTTGTTTTTCCCACGGCGCTCCATTTATCTCCCCTCGTCATTCTCTCTCTCTCTCTCTCTCTATTTGCCCCGTGGCTTTGTCGTCTTCTCCAAGGACCCCGGTTCGTCATCCTCTGAAGATATCCCACTTCCCAAATCCAGCAAGCCGGCCGTTATCGCGGTCAAGATCGAGTTTTTTGATTCGAGGAGGAGGACCCAGTTGCGGCAAAGGCTTCCATGTCGCGGGTGGCGGCTTCCAATCCGCTGGCGCTCCACCGGTTTAGGCCCTGCTTTCGGGCAGCTCCTCGGTCCTCGTCGCTCGTCGCGACCCCACCCGCCGTGCGATTTCGGCCCAGGAATCGCGGGCTGCGGATCGTCGCGTGTGGGGCGAATCCTGATCCTACCGAAAGTTCCACGTCGGTACGTTTTTCCATCGACCGTTGCGCTCTTTACTTTTAGTTCTTGCTGCTCATGGAGTCGGTCGGATTTTCCAGTGCCCCGTGCCTTCTAGATTGTAGGGGATTGTTGAATTTGACGGGAAAATTGTTGGAGGATTGTAATTACTGCTCAATTTGTCTGAGCTTCGAGTTTCCCCGACAAGGAACTTAGTTTAGAACAATTTGCATACGTTCGTGCTCTGTGTGAGCGTGTTTGTGTGTGTCTTGGTTCTTTGCACTGCCACTGATAGAGATTTGAGCTTGCATTTTCATATCAATACGTGATATCTATTCTGATCCTCCTCGTATTGCCGTTTTGAGCTGTTTTGTTCAGCTAAAGTTCTACATCTCTCGTTTAAATGCGCTATGCAGGAAAAGTTGGTCCTTGAGCCTTCTTCAGAGAATGACAGTACTACTGACCAATCAACAAGTCCCTCTCCAAACGTTGGGCTCCCAGATTTACCCAATAAATCTTTCAATAAGCAAATAGCTGTAGTTTCTGCTCTAGCTGCAGTTGGACTTTTCTTATCTGGGCGGTTAGATTTTGGTGTTTCTTTGAAAGACCTCACCGTTGCTGCATTGCCTTATGAAGAGGTATGCCTACTCATGCTTGTCTCTTAATAAAAAAAAAAAGAAGAAAGAAAGAAGGGGAAGCTTAAATCGCCGAATAGAAGTTTCTCTATGGACGCGGAGGCCTTCCAATGAATCTGGAATGCATTATAAGTTGGAGAATGCGGAATCAAAATTTAAGCCACTTTTCTAAATCTGATTTGTCAACAACTGCGATAATATATACTGGTGGCAGTATTGTGCCGGTGCCAATTTATATGTGTTTCATATTCTATAAGAGAACCCAAATATACCCATAATTTACTAGTCTGTCAATTTAAAAAACTTGCCTGCCTTTACTATGGTAAATGATAAAGTTAACTTACTGATTTAATTTCTATTGTAATGTTCATTCTGCCACTCTCTCATGTTAATTAAACGTTTATCTTCAATGTTTGATCCCCTAGGCTCTCGCCAATGGGAAGCCCACTGTGGTGGAGTTCTATGCTGATTGGTGTGAAGTTTGTCGAGAATTAGCTCCCGATATCTACAAAGTCGAGCAGCAGTACAAGTAATCGTCTTTACTTTTTTATTTTCAGACTTTATTTTATGGGTCGACTTATAAGAACATTATTTGAGCCAGATCTTTCTAAGTAGTGTAAGAAGGGGAGTATCCTGTAAAGATTGCAAAGACTCGGCTTTAGTTGAAGCTTGAGCTTTCCATTTTCAATAAATCAAACTTGTATCTGTGAAGTTTCTCGCAACTCACATGACAATTTTCTTCATTCAGGGACAGGGTTAATTTTGTTATGCTAAACGTTGACAACACTAAGTGGGAACAAGAGCTCGATGAGTTCGGAGTTGAGGGTATCCCACACTTTGCATTCCTTGACAGAAAGGGAAATGAGGAGGGCAATGTGGTGGGCAAGCTTCCGAGGCAATACCTGCTTGAGAATGTGGATGCCCTAGCCCGCGGTGAAGCATCCATACCTCATACTCGTGTTGTCGGACAATATTCCAGTGCTGAAGCAAGAAAGGTACATCAGGTTGCTGATCCGAGGAGTCATGGATAGGATTTAGATTCACTTGGTTGAGAAGCAACGAATCAAGTTGTTGGTACCATGTTTATAGAAGGTAATGTTTCTATCTCATTGGTTGTATCTGATTCAATTTCATTGCATGATTATGTAATCCTGTTGCACACTCTTTCTGGCATGATTTTACCGTTGGGTTACTGATGTTTAGAGATGACTCTCCTGGTGCACATTTAGTCTTCAAGAGCTGTGAGGCAGCTTATTCTTCTATCTCCTGATAGGAATGCATCTCCTCTATATAATGGCTGAAAGAGCGATCGATCTATTCAAATAACATTTGGATTCTATTTAGCAAGTAGATATTGGATAGGTGTTATGTGCAACTTGCAGATTGAATTATCTGTCTAGATATTCATCACTTGACTGTGCAGATTCAAGAATGGATAATTTATCGAGTTTTACGTATAATTCTGTTATTGAACAAGGCCCAGTGAAATGCTCAAAAAGGTTGAATAAATCTCTTTGAGGTCATCAAGAACAAGCTTTTGTGTTGGTGCAGGGAGATTCTTCAAAAGTTCTACAAAGCTGAGTTTGTGCGGGATGATGAAGGCAGGGGTGGCCGAAGGGATTATTTCTTTGCTACAACGTTACTTGAACTTGCATTCATATTCATCTAACCTTTTAAGATTTTAAAATGTGTATTTGTCGAGAAAGATAGATGAATATCGAGATTTATGGGTACAGGATCTTTCCAGCTTTCTGTATTAGTCTGCAATGAAAACAGCAAACTGATTACGGCGAATTCGTGTGATATCTTCTCGATTTTCTAATTTGCCGAAGACAGACAAGAGCTCTTGTATGAAACTCGGGGAAAAAAAGTAGCCTTGTGTTCTGCAACTTAAATTTCTTAGAAGACAACTTCCGGTAGGATGTCGACGTGGGCGAGCAAACCCCGACTGCCGGGCGGAGGCAAGAGCTCTGCATCATCCTGTGCATTGATGCCGTCTTCTCATCTGTTATGTGCGAGTGTGAAATGTAGTTCTGAGTACCGCGGTGAAGGTGTGGATTGAGAAAATGCGCTGCAGGAGACTTCCTAGCTCGTCTTGTTTCTGTTTTTACTGTAATATTTCTCCGGACCTTCGCAAATCCTTAAAGTTAAAAGGCTTCTGGCCTCGATCGAACCTCATGATCATCGAAATGTAAAATTTTCGTAGGGTATTCTCTCTCTAGGGAAAACATATATATGGAGAGAAATTGAGGATGCAGGACGTACAAACATCGGCATGTTAAAATAAGGAATACATAGATAAAGCGCACTATCCCTGTAAATCAAACGGACAGGCCGTGGAGGCTTTCGTAGGAGCTTCGGCTTCCATTTCTTGATAAGGTTTCCTCTTAATTGAATGCCAAAGATCAACTCGTGACTGAAGTGTTTCGGTCGTTGGGTATATTAGTAAAAGAACACTTGGAGAAATCACTAAATGCTAATTGGTTGAATATAACTTTTTTCCTCTGAAATTTAGTAATTTTTTGAACAATTTACTAGTTACTGATAGCTAGGTACTTTTTTCTAGTATGAAAAGTTATTAATTTCGAGGAAAAGGTTATCAAGAGTAACTACTTGATATATATTTATTTATTTTACATGAATTTTGTTTAAACATGAGATGCATTTCGAATTGCTAAGTGATTAAAAGTTACTGGTCCGGTCGAGAAATTATCAATTATACCGAAAGATTTTAAATTACAGATAAAAAGTTTATGTACTTTTTCAATATGAAAGTAACCAATCAAGTTTAAAAGTTGCTTTCGACCCAAAAAAAAAGTTTAAAAGTTGCTTGGTATGATATTGGTCTGTCTTGATCCTTAACTTTCACCGGACCCAAAGTCAAGAACAAAGTAAATGAGTAACTAATTACCAAGAAGAGCTTTTAGCTCGTTCGTTTCACGAAAAATAACTTTCAGGAAAATGTTTCCTGATTTTTGAGCGTTCATTTCACGGAAAATAAATTAGTAGTGGAGAACATTTTCTATCAATTAAAAAGACACCTTCAAAAGTGGGGAAAATGTTTTCCGCTTTTTCTTTCACCTCAGCTTCTTTCAAATAACACATTTTCCTTTTATTTGTATTTTTTATTTTCTTAAAAATCAAGTTTTAATTATTTTATTTTTTCCTTTGCTTTTCTTATTTTTCCTTTTCTTATTTTTTTTTTTTTGCTTTTTCCTTGGCCGGCCACAAGCGAGGCTCGCCAAATTCTGGCAAGGTCGAGCCTCGCCTGTGGCTGGTTGCAGGCTGTTGCCGTGGCCTACGACCGGCCAAAGAAGAAGAATAAAAAAACAAAGAAAAGGAAAACAAAGAAAAAGAAAAAAGAAATTCTAATTGTTTTGGTAATTTTCCCTAGAAAATCAAATCGGATACCATATGGTAAAAAATATTTTCCAGTTCATTTTCAGGTTTTAGCCGAACACCGAAAAATATTTTTATTTTCCTGAAAAATGGCTTCTTGGAAAATATTTTTCAGAAACATCACATTTTTCGCGAAAAGAACGGAGCCTTAGATCCTTTATTGGTTGATAAGACTAATAACCTAGCCTAAGCACATATCCAATTTGAAAGGTTATTTAATCGTAAATAAACCTTGATTACAGCAAGCAGAAGAGTAACAAATTATATCTAGATTGCATACTTGAATATAAGGAAGTAAATCAAATAAACATAAGAAATATTGACTAATTATTTCAAGTACACAATCGGTTTTAGGAAATGCTTTTTCAAATCATCTATTTTTCACGAAACAAGCGGAACCTAAAGCAATTGAAAAGTTTATCGCCCATACACTGCGCACAGTTTCAATTTCTTTCCCTCAGATTGGAAAAATGGAGAGGGAAAGAACAAAAGAAGTGGGTGTGGAAACTTAGTAAATTTATGAATTTTTTCTCACAAAAGCTCTCAATACCTTCTACAGTTTGCACTCTCAATTCCCATTTTCCCTCCCTCCTTACTTTTACTAAAAAAGAATATAGAGAGAGAGTAAATATCTTCCGATCATGGAAAGGTTGTTGTCAAAAAAAGAAAAAAAAAATCCAAGGGAAACTTTCTTGTGTTGGTAATTGCATGCATGGATATAAGGAAGTGAATCAAATAATTATTACATATAAAGCCACCATTCTTGAAATGCAATGACCATCTAAAAAAAACTTCACAAATGGCGGCATTTGGGACACGCACGACAGGCCAATTTGTTCTGCTCACTTGCGTTTCCTTTGTTGTTCTCATGGCTCTCCATCAAGGTTAAGTAAACTAGAAGGCTAAATCCTCTTTTGCTTCAATTTGTTTGTCTTCATAGCATTGATGCATACGTATATCTCTTGATACCATGACAATACTTTAGTATTGAGAACAAATCGAATGGGGAAAGTATCCAATCAGTCAAAAACTTATTGTACGGATGCCAATTCGGTCCTAAACTTTTCAATTTCGCTGATTTTTGCAAATACATACACGTCTTTTTCGATGATAACGCCATACATGTCTTTTTCGATGCCGATAGGCAGCACGGTGGCACGTGTTGAGGTTTTTGGCACTAGCGAGAATTCGCGTGGCGCCATGGAGGACAGGGAAACCGTCCCCTCTGGTGTGAAATACGGCAGCAAATTGGACATTCCTTCATGTGTAAAGACGGGTTGCAGGGATTCGAACCGCCGGTGGTGCTATTGCTGCGCGACCGACCCCAGCAAAGGATGTGCCACCTCCCTGTACGGTTGTATGTCATTTTGCCCTCCTACCTCCCCATAGGCCATAAACAGAGACGTCGCTGCCTTTGAAAGTTGTGCTTAATTGTTCCTGAATAAAAACGCCATTGATCCAAGCTTAACTCCGCTAGATGTTCTCGAATAAAAACTACACTCTGGCTTTCGCGTTTAGGTTTAGAAAAGAGGAAATAAAACGGGCAAGAGAATGCCCACGTGCATGGCATAGCAAGTGTGAGTAAATTCAGCCTTAAATTTGAACCATTTACTCTCTGCAATCTCTCACATTCACTCAGCTTAGTCACTCTCTCTCGCACTCACTTCCTACCGATGCACTCGATGTCGACGCTCCCCCCGTTGTCAATCCAATCGATTCCTTTGCTTGGTGACCAACCCATACGTAACAAGAAAAAAAGTTGTTTTTTGAGTGAAGGCGTCTGTCTAGATGTGAGACAACGTGTGCAAGGGACTTTTTATAAACAATTAAAGGTATGACTTAGAGTTTAGAGATAGTATCTACTTTGCTGCGTGCGCAAATGTGAGATCGTCCAATAGTTACCTCTTCCATAGCCGGGTTGTACTTCCACTCGGTAGGTAGTATTTGTACTTTTAGCATGAATAGGAGAATTCGATCTATTTGGACTGATAGAGCTGGAAGAGAGGAGTAGGCTCGAACCTTAAATTTCCTTTGTAATTTTTCTTTCTCTAAACTCGTTAATTTCCGCTATTTAAATTGTTAGCTCAATTTGCGTGTAGATAAATTATCTTTATAGGGGTCGTGCCTTGAATCAATATGTTTATTGTGATTAGTTCTACTAACTTAGATTGAGTTTTCTTGAAAAACCAATTCATCCCTCTCTTGGTTGCTTATTTGGACCTAACATATATTTATAACTTACAAACTTTTCTCCGGTTAAGCTATCAATTAGTTTTGAATTACCAACTCCGACTTGAGTTGCTTGCCCACATTTACATTTTCTTTCTTAAATTTACTTACTTTCTATTGAGCTACAATTTCTATTTGCCTTGCTCTCCAACTTTTAAAATTTATCAGCTCATTTTGGATATTACAAATCTCAATTGGAGTGATTATTAACTTTTCTTTGATGAAGTTAACAGCTAGCTTTGCATTACCAAGTACTAAAACTTGTCGCGTAAGTGTAATTGAGTTTTAAAGGTGCGTTTGTATCGCGAAAAATAAACATTTTTCAAAACGTTTTCAAAAAATGATTACTTATATCTCTTACAAATATGATGAATGCAAATTTTTTTCATCGAAATTGCTTATACATAAATTGTTGTTGATAATGAAAATATTTTTCATTAATTAATTATTTTAAGCGTTTCAAGCGATCATTTTTTGGAAAATATTCAAATCAATCACTTTTGCGAAACAAATGGATCTTGAGACTTAAAAAAAGGTGCAATCAAGTCATAAAAATTATTAAATTTGTGCAGTCGAGTTGCTCTGTTGCTTTGGTAAGGAAACCTTTTCCGTTAACTAGGAAAACATTTTCCATTGACTCATTTTCCTAAGCAAACCAAACACCGGAAAATGAGCAAAGTGTTTTCCCGGAAAATGTTTTCCGCGAAACAAACGCACCCTCAATGTGGCTTGATTATGTTGAGGTGAGGACAAGGGTCCAGTCAAAGTTTATTTACTTACTTGCAATAATAACCCTCGCAAAAATGTTAAAAAATGGTAAAATACCATATATGGAAAATTTTGAATATCTTACATGGAAGATTGTTTATATCAAATATTAAATGAGGCCAAATTAAGGTAAGGACTAGAGTCAAAGTTGGTTTTTGGAATTTATAAATGAATGCATGCATGGGAATTCATCAAGAACAATGTTATTACATAAACCCATCATCATTGAGAAGCATAATAACCACGTACAAAAGTTCTTCAAAAGATGGCATTTGGGAAGAAATACACAGCAGGTCAGTTTGTCCGCTTCAGTTGCGTTTTCTCTGTTGTTCGCTTGGCTCTTCATCAATGTGAGTAAAACCAGTAAGCTGGAAAAAGTTCCTATTCGTATCTTTCATCCGTCATTCTTGCTATGTTTTCTTTCCATCCATGTCAATGATAACTGTATTGTTTTATCCGATGCGAACAGGTAGGGCGACCATGCGCCATGCCGGCATTTTCACGGCCAATGGCAAAACGGGTGGTGGTATGACAGGGGTGTCGGGACCCCTGGCTATGATGGGGGTGTCCGAACCGCTCGCTATGACAGGGCGACGGGAGTTTAAGAACCGCTCACAGTGATGGAAGTGTCCGAACCACTCGCTTCTTCTCAGATCAAAGAAAGTGAAAAAACCGCCTCAATGTTTGTCTTGCCCGGGTTGGCAGGTCGATTGCTACTGTTGCATGACGGACCCCAAGAAGCCAGGTACTAAGTGCATGGAAGATTGTATGAAAGAGTGCCCTCCTTGGCCTCATCCAGAAATGTCATTGCCTTGTAAATTGTACTCATGGTTTCTGAACAAAGAAGCCACTAATCCAAATTAAGAATTTAAGTTTGTTTGTCTTCCATTAAGGTCAGAGTCGAAACCCGAACTAAAATTCAGGCTTTTTACCGAAATTAGGCCATCTTTTTCACATTGTTCACTTGCTATATCGAATCAAATTCTATACTTAACTTGTCCCTTTTCTTGTCGCCTTTTAGTTCCCTTATAAACTTGAGCACTAAAGCATATTGCCAAAAGCGTATACTTCTTCAATGCAAATAGATGGTGCTATGATGCGTATCAATGCTTTTGTCACTGATGACGACTCACATTGTACTATAAAGGAACAAGAACCCGTCCCTTCTCAAATCAAAGGCAGCTTAAAACCGCACATTCCTCAATGTTCGTAGATGGCTCGTGGGCATTCGAAGTACGAACGCCATGTTGCATGTCTGACCAAAAGAAACCGTGTACTCAGGAGTCTCGGACCTTGGCTGCTTATGCAAGAAGTTGCCCTCCTTTTCCTCGGTCAGCAATTTCATTACCTTGAAAATTTCAAGTAACTCCTCTGAATAAAGAAGTAAGAAGCCATTGATTTAAGTTACCTTGACCAGAGTACTTCTGTTTTTTTTGGGCATATTGTTGTGTCAGCTTAAAAGTATATTTTGCAGAGAAGATGCTTGAGATGAAGAATGAGAATAACATATTAGTTGTCAAATTGCTTTGCCTGCCTAAAAGTAGATGTAGGAGCAGATTTTTCCATATTAACCTTCAACCAAGAGTCGCCTATAAGCCATTGTGAAGCACTTGCAAAAGCAAACATATTCAGCCAAAGGTGAAAAGCATACAGAAGCGAGATGAAGTTACAAGGGAGTCCAACCTCAAAGAGAGAAAAACCTTCATATCCATCTGGATTGCAGAAAGTGAATATATTTGTCATGCCCAGTTGCATCTTTCCCCATGCGATGTATATAATATCTTATGGACATCTTAGTTGTGATAAGATACGATGGATCATGAAACCTGCCACGATGTAAAATGCCATTCTTTTCGCAGTCTCAAGACTCATCAATCATAGATTTCAACTCTTCGCGGAATTGCGTAACTTTCTCTGCTTTTACTGCCATGACTAACCCTGTCAACTGGTAATTCTTAAGCTGCATGTAAACAATATCTCTCAATTAGTAATAAAGATGACAATGAACATCGATGGTCAAGTCCCAAGGCTGCAGTAGCGGGAGCAACTTTTAATTTACTGTCAGCCCAAATCAATAATTCATTATATTCTTGCCGGTCCCATCAACCAGCAGTAATGCAGGGAAAAGAATCCGGAATGAGTAAGGCTTTCTTACCTCATGATTTGTAACTGGCGGAGCTTGCAAAGGAAAACTGAAGGACCACGAGCTGAGCTGCATTAGATAGTGGAGTAATAATTAACTAATGAAGTAATTAGCCAAAAACAAAAGGAAGTGGCATACTTGACCAAGTTACTGATTTGAGAATATTTATACCTTATAAAAAATTTCATCTTCGAGCTTACTGAATAAAATATCTGCATCTTTGTCACGATTGCTGTTTTGTTTACTTTTCTTGGAACCATTCTTTAGCTGCATCAGGCAACATGAAGCAAAGCACAGCAGATGAGAACGGCATGAATTCATGAATCTAGCACCAGATTGAAGAGAAATGAGTAGACCAAGAGGAGCAGCACTTTTACCTTATAAATTTTGCTCACTAGTAAATAATTACTAAACTTGAAAGAGTTCCTAAGCTCCTCAGTGGGCTTCGAAAAGATAAGCAAGATACATTAATCATGGAAAACTTTAACTATATAGCAGGTAAGAAAACATATTCACCAAGCTCACCGACTTCATACAATATTCTCAGCTGACCTCATCTTCCGTAGCCCATGAGACTTCATCAAAGAGTGCATCATAGAGAGGTGGCACAAGCTGGGGAGGAAAATTCATCACGTGCTGAGATACCAAAAGACCAGTATGCTGTGCTTGCTCCTTCAAAAGTGCTCTGAGATCGCTTATCACATCGTTCTCTGGGCACACTTTAAGGAGGTACTCCTTCAGCTCGACAATACATTTATGATCCTGGTCACCGAATATAGCATATATTAGATCTCCTTTCCTCTATAACGACCAAATTTATGAGCAATACACAGACATTAGACAGCAAACGACTGCACAGAATGCAACAAGGAAGTGCCATCTAAAGAGGGGGGAGATTGAGATGACACCTTCATATCTTTCACATGTTTGTTTGTCTCATCTACTGTATGTTTCGACAAGCTATTTCGTGAGGGCAGATTGATGTTGGTGTTGACACTCACAGCTAAGATGCAAATCACGTGATTAATTGACGGCAAGGGTTAAGATTCCAGGAGACAGATCGACTTGCCTTATATCTGTCCAGGTTAAGTGCGGAAACAACGGAGAAAAGTCCATCATCTTCGGCACCCTCTATCTTAACGACAGTCCCCACTGTTGTCTGTCCCAATATCAAGTCTACAAAGCCACTCAAGTCCCATTCCTCATCACCAAGGTAGTTCTGTAGCAGAATCTTCACCCCATGAAAATCGCTCGGTTTCGGGTCGAAAAAGGCAAAATCAGCTTGAACGACCCCCTTCAGATAAATACACAAATAAAATTCATTACAAGAAAGATAACACGCCGAATATCACCGCCGAATCGAAAGCTATCCTAACGATGCTCTTACTTCAATTTCATCATCATCACCACCACCATCAGAAGACTGGGAATGCGTGCTCTCCTCGTCAGAGGATTCGGTCTGTCTAACCTTCTCTTTCTGAGCATTCTTGCCAAACCCATTATCTAAAAGTGATCATCCAATCGAAAACCCACATCAAAACTCGAGCTTGAGACCAGTTTAAGAACGAAAAACAGGGTCGGAAAAAAGCAGTCTTGATCACCCAACACGAATTGCGTGATGGAAGCGACATCGACACGGAAGAAGTGAACGTACCAGGAGCGCCTGTGCGGCAATTGGACTCGTGGGCATCATCCTGCTTGCCCCTCGAGCTCGCGGAGGCGGCGAGAGCGAGGGAACGAGCGAAGGGCGAGAACGTCCGAGGGCGAGAGGACGACGAAAGGCGGCGCCTTTTGGCTTTGGGAGGCATCTTCTTCCTCCTTCTCGAGCCGATCAGGGACTGGAAGGAGAAGAGAATGACGCTTGCTTTGCACACGCCCACCGATCTGCAGATGCACGATGTTTGATTAGGGTTTAGGGTTTTTCCATGGGGTGAAGAGTAAGACCGGGGCTATTTGTTTCATTTTTTTTCCTTCAACATATTAATGGGAGAACGATATAATTGATCCCTGAACTTTGATAAAACGCGTAACATAATCTCTGAATTTTTAATTTATTTAATATGATCACTAAGCTTTTGATACATGTTCAAATTAATCCATGCATTATATGAACTTTTATTTTGTTCAATATTGTCCCTGAATTTTTGGTAAATATGATCATTCTATGACGAGTTATTAGTTCTAGGAGAAGGTATATCCTTCTACCATGACTGAACACTAGCCTGTTGTTGTTGATGCTCCTCTTTCTCTCGATCTCCCTGCTTTCCGCGAGTCCAATGCTTCCAAGGTTGATTATTTTTATGAGGTTACCTGCCTTAGTGAAGATGACAAGATTTCAAGTACTCAACTTTCTTTGATAAATCCATATTTTTCTTTTGCCAAACCACTTTCTTTTTCACCCATTCGTTCTATCAAGAAGCTTATTTAGCACACTCCCAAGGATGTTAAGGAATATGCCCGATCCACCCGTTTTGATCAGCATCCTATACCTGCTACTCAGCAAGAGCACCTTGTTAATCTTCAGATACCACTTGAGTTTGTGCAACGGTGGCATTCTCAGGATTATACTCAGCAATTCGCCTTGCTCTAAACATTCCATGGCAGAAAGGGTCTTCTTGTAGTTGCCCGTATGGCTCTCCTTGACACCAAATTCCTTGAGTATCAACATGCTTGCATAGGAACCGTAGAAATCACCCTAAATGCTACCTTTTTTCCCAATTTCAATAGGCGAGGGTCAGATAGTGCCATGTTGAAACTAGTCTCTGAATTATATGAAAATGTTTAATGTTATCATTCCATTAATCTAAGTTTAGGAACAATATTGAACATTTTCATATAGTTTAATAACCTAGTTTGAATATGACCAAAAAGTTCAGGGATTATATTGAACAAATTAAAAATTCATAGACCACATTGCAGATTCAGCTAAAGTTCAGGGACCATTTATATCATTATTCCGAAAGAAAACTTGCACCGCCCACGATTTGCTTTGTGAAAAATTACTTTGGTAGGCCCAAGAAAAAAAAATGTGGAAAGTCATATTTCTTAAACCGAAAGTTATTCATGGATGTGAAAATTTTACTCCTCACAATATTGAAATTGAAAACCACTTTTAATTTGCAAAATGTTGCTAATCGCATTTCAAAGATACTAAATTCTTCTAATTCAAAGTTACTTCTAACAAGGAAAAGTTATTAAACATGGGTCGAAATTACTAATCACTAACAGGAAAACACTTGATCCTCATCCCAGCTTGATCTACCGATACTATTATTTCAGGACAGAGAGTAATGTCTGTGTAAGTTAATTATTCCTGTTCTATTGTCCAAAGTGAATACCATTGGGAGGCAATGTACAGTTGAGAGCAAAGCAAAGTTCCGGCGAGAGAAAATCGACATTTCGGGTCTTGTTCAGCCGTCTAGTTGATAGCGGGAGTGATCAATCCCGGCTGAAAGCCGTCTATGACAGATGTATCTCAACCGAGCCGAGAATATTTGCAGCCGTGGCTCGGCGTACTATAAAGAGCATCATCTCGACTTTCAACTCGACATTTGCTTTACATGATTAAATCGAAAACAAGTACAGCTCATAGGTTGCCCGTTTACTTAGAACGTAATCTACATCTTGCGAGTACTGGAAGAAACAGTATTGCTAATGATACATAAAAAAGAAGTCATTCTTTAGATAGCTATGCTGTAGTGGGAAGCCGAAACCTGTAAACTGGACCTGGAACGATATGCACAGGATGATCGGAGAGCGAGTCCGCAAGCTGGTGGTCAAAGACGAGCTCATGGTGGTCAAAGACGAGCTCATCGAACCACGTTACTTAGCAAGCTGGTGGTCGAAGGCGAGCTCTGTTCGCTCAACCAAGATTCCTGAATCGACACCGGTGAAGAGTCCTTCAACTCCTCCACCGAGCCCAGAGAATCGGCCGCCCTAGGCGTCCCAACCAGACGTTGACTCGCGGGCGCTCTCTTCGTCGACATGCCACCAAAGGACCTCTCGCTCCCGTTATACGGCGAGGAACAAGAGGATGCCACCGAGGACGCTGCGAATATGTCCTCTTCTAGCGGCGCCCACCCACTGAGCCTTATCTGCTCGAGTTCCTCGGCAACTTCTATCATGGAAGGCCTCATGTCCTTGTGAAACGCGAGGCATCGAAAAGCCAGCTCGGCCACCTTATGAATGGAGGAGAGCGTCCATGCATCCCGTTGTGGGTCGAGGAACGGGTCAATGATATCATCCACGCAACCTCTACCTATCCTATCAACAGCCAGTGCAGCCAAGTTCACCTCGCTGTGGGGTCGGGAGAAATCCACCACTTTTAGTGCGGTTATGATCTCCACAAGGACCACCCCAAAACTGTAGACATCGCTCTTGTCAGAAAGATGGAAATTTTGATGATATTGAGGATCGAGGTAGCCCGGAGTCCCTTGTGGGGCAGTGGAGATGTGGGAATCCCCAGTCTCCGTCATTCCGAGCCTGGAAAGGCCAAAATCTGCTACTTTGGATCTATAGTGGTAATCCAAGAGTATGTTGCTAGACTTGATGTCTCTATGATAGATGGGCGGGTTCACAGCTGAATGGAGATAGGCAATGGCACGAGCAGTTTCGGCCGCGATGGTGAGCCTTATCGTCCAAGGAAGTCCTTTCCCTCTCTCTCTTTGTAAATGCTGAGACAATGTTCCGTTTTGCATGTACTCGTAAACAAGGATCTGTTCACCCTGCTCAATGCAGCAACCCAAGAGACGGACAAGATTGGGATGACTCACGGACGATAGGAGCTTGATTTCATTCATGACTTGGTCAATGCTATCCGTATCCCTGTGCCGGATCTTCTTAATAGCGACCAATTCGTCGTTGTGGAGCTTTCCGGCATAGACTGTGCCGTAGGCCCCGGTACCCAGCCTCTGTCTCTCGGAGAATCCATCGGTGGCTCTTGCGATGTCTTTGTACTGGTACAAGGGAAGACTGGAGTTGCCGGCTGTTTCGCAGAGAAGGCGCTTCGCACTCATCCGGTTCCGCAGAGCAGTGGACCGGCGATGTGCAAAGAAACAGATGACAGCAAGAGCAACCATTAAGGAAGCTCCAGCAGTAAGCCCTAAAACACCAGATGGACGTGGACATCAGTACAATTATCTTTACAAACCAAAAAGTTGCCGCTACGCCTTTTTTTCCCAACAACACAGAAAAACCACCCACAGAGAGAGAGAGAGAGAGAGAGTTATTGTCCCATATCGCTCTTTTGCTGAACTTACTATGCTAAAAAACAATACAGGCTTATTTTTCCATCTATTTAGTTTCTTTCCTTCCTTGCTCTACCTGTTACATTACTTCTTTTGATTGATAAGGTAGACTCTTTGTTCATTTGCCTCTATCAACTGATATCTGACATAGAAGAAGCACCAGTACAGTCTAACCATAACAAGGGGTAGAAGACTACTCACCTCCAATGAGTATGCCGACTCTTGTACTTCCTCCGCAGCCCCTGGAGAAGTACTTTGAAATGCCACAACTTGAAGCTACAGATAACAAAGGAATGAAACTGAGCGTTCCAATTTCATAATGCAGAATGACAATATTAATTATTCCAGAAATCAATTTTACTTTTGAAGAAAGAGTATAAACAAGTTAGACAATATTTTCACACAAAATTAGTATTAAAAAAATGTATATGTCTAAAAGAAGCTTGCAATTGAAGCCAATATTGAAATGAGCCAAATGTAGGCGTTTCCTTGTTTTTCTTATTTCAAGAAAAAGGATTTGTCAGACATGACCAGTCCAATGACCTAGTGATATAATATGTCAAGTTATGCTTAACTGCGGCATCATGTTTCATGAAAATGAAAAGCTCTTTTAACTTGGGCCGAAAAGAACAAAATGTGACTACTCTGATTACTCTGAAATCGCTTAAGGTTTTACTGTTTATTTTGTTAGCAAAAATTCTACTTCTGTGCCAATCTCCCTCTCCCTCTCTCTCTCCCTTCCCTTTTTACTCTAATGAGCTAATGCTCCTCCGGTATCCTCAGTCAGGAAGCCATACTGTTTGTTATGGCAAAAATGGGGAATTGCAGCCAACACCTAATCCTTAACATGCCTTACTTATATATCATGGACCGTTTTCTGACAGCTTATAGGACAAACGGTCGTCCAGCATCTATAAACATATAGCAGAGTGTTGGACCAACGATTAGCTCAAACTGTAGCCTACTTGTCTGGTCTTATGACCTCCTCACCCCATGTATTTGAGGGGAAAAGAAGTATTTTTTTCAAGTGGGCAGTACACCATTCACATCCTTGGATTGTGCCCCCTCGATCTAGCAATCATTTTGATCTTGCCCACACTACTTAGCTAATACAGATGCAAAGTCAATGCCGATCATGTAAAGAAGCCGACAATCACATAATGGAAGAGTTGATCAAATATATTGACAGAGCTCCAAGATGTAGAATCTTTTCCCTCATAAAGCCCATGTCCCAGTCAAAAGTGAAACTTCAGAGATTCAGAGGCTGCTTTCAAATTAAAGAAGAGAACAATCATCCTAACAAGAAAATTCAAAAAGTACAAAAGCACAAGATCATCTTGATTAATTGACAATTCGCACTCTTTATTATTTACCAATCTCGCACTTTTATTGACCAAAGAAAGGACATCCCTGTATCCTATTGGATGACAGTTGAATCTTTCTTTTCCTGCCTTTTCATATGTCCTCAATAAAAGAAAGTTAGACCCCAAGCAGAAAACAAGAGATGAAACAAAGAAAAGGCCGTTTGATGAACAAGATTGGAGATTTCACATGGTCAGCTAACTTTTGGGTCTTTCACACTTAAAGGCATGAACCAACTTAGCAATTAAGACTTGACTTTTCATTGTATCCGAATAGGTCCCTCAATTCGAACTTTTTTTGCCCCGCACTGTCTATCAGCAAATCATGTGATAATTTCAATCTGTTTTGGAGTCTGAAGAGAAGAAAATAACAAGACACATGACAATTAGCATTATCCCAGATGACACTACTTTGCAAGTGTTATGTAATAGTAAAACGTGCGTATTATCTACGATGGCTATGTACGTACGCATGCTCCAATGAGTTGACTCACCTCTCCGGCAACCTTCACCGTGGACGAAGCCATCACCATCAAAACCAGGATCACACTCACACCTGAACCCTGAACCACCATTAGCAAGAGAAACATTCTTGCAAGTCGCATTATCTGAGCAATTACATGACCCATTGAGCCACCATCCCAACTCCAGAGCTTGAACCTTGAGGGAGTTCTTCTCCGGGTCAACAGCAGCAATGGAAGAGAACAAGAACTTACAACCTATACTATTCAATTTCTCATATGCAATCAAATCAACCCCCTCCTTACTCTCTTTCGAGTAACACGTTATGTTTTCTCCTCGGCAGCTCACGTTCTCGAATGGGTTTTTCACAAAACTTGCCGGCACGAGGCATCCACTCAAAGGGCCTTTGCATTCCTGGAATAGAAAGCCATTTGTCCAAGTGGGTGCATAATTTTTGCTAAAAAGAGACTTGATCGAAGCGACTGGGCGGTAGCATTTCGCTGGGAGGTCGATGATTATGCTATATGCGGTCAAGTTCAGGACTCGAAATTCCCCGATTCTGATCTCGGAGTTGTTGGCGCAGCTGAGCTGGATTTCGCAATGGCTGGAGAATCCAAATGGGAAATTCACATGCTTGGCAGATCTTCCAGTTCCACATGATTGGTTGCACTTCGCGGCATCATGAGCTTCTGCTAGAGAGATGATCGAGATAGTGGTGATTATTGCAAGAATTGCTTGTTGAAAAACCATACTCAACTGGAAATGGACTTAAGCTGAACTGGGTTGATGGTATCTTGGGTATTCATCAGCTTTCTGCAACCAAGTAAAGAAAAGGTGGAAACTGGCTGATCACGGATTTGGAGTCATATCACAAGCTAGGAAAGAGAGTGATAAATAAAAATTAAAGGAATTTTCTATGGAAGACGTGACAAAAGCAGCTGACTCATGGTTGCAATTTGCTGAGAAATTAAAAGCTCTCTGTACCGTTGGGAGACCATCCATCACCATAAACGCTCATAGAACAGAGAGAGAGAGAGAGAGAGAGAGAGAGAGAGAGGTGTCTATTTGGAGCTTTTAATTCGATCAGAGACGCAATGAATGGTTACCCATCTTTGAGGGAAATAGAATCAGTCAACCCTTGGGCTTGTTCAAAACAAGAAGAGAGAAAAAGGAAAAAGAGAGCAGTTTTGGTGACCATACCTCTAAAGGTTTCTCGTTTCAGATTTGGAGAGGCTGGAGACTCAAGCTGTGCAGCCGGCTGCTCTGTGGTTTGAAATTCGAAAGCCTGCAATTTGAATTCTTGAAATCTCCGGTCTCAGCTCGGTCACCTTTTCCTCATGCTGGATCAAAAGAGCTCAAGAACCCAAAAGGAAAGCAAGAAAAGAAAAGGGCTTCACTACAAGATTCTCTCTCCCTCTCTCCAAACACGCACACACACGGACACCCACAAGAGCCTCGACTAGTCCAACGTCAAAAGAACGACCTTTTCTAGTAAGAAGAAGAAACGTCAAAGCGGACAACATCATCGTCCATGTGAGCGATAGGGTTGGGTCATGGACGGGAAGTGGAACAGAGCTAATACGTGAATGTGAAGGTGGGGGGGTGTCGAAAGCGACGGACGAGAGCTGCACATTATAAATGGGTTGACCCGGGGACGAAGAAAAAGCAGAGGTGGAGAGGTGAATATGTGGACAGCAAGCAGCTTCACCACCACCTCTCTCTCATCTTTTGCTCCTCCATGATTCGACGAAGGTGGGGAGGTTGAAGATACACCGCGTACGCAGCTTGTGTAGCAGTATATTCCCCTTTGGCTGAAATTGGATCTTGGGATCATAATGGAATGGGATATTGCAAACCGCATTTTAACATGGGTTTATATTATTCAAAACCAATCATTTAGTGTGAAAAATCTTTCTTTCCAAAGTGGGAATTGTTACTATTATAAAGTAGGGGCGAGTAGAGGTGACCGATCCTAGCTATTTTTTCTTTGGGCCTTACGATAAGGATCCTCACGCCCTCTACAGAACGTTAGGTTAGAATTACGGATACTCCGTATTATTCATGACCCAAGGTCCGAAGTTGACAAGTCTGTGGTCGTGATCCAACTAAGATATATTTTTTTTTATAGAAATCCTACTAAGATGTGAGTAGCTAGGAAGTCTCCTTACATGAAGTACGCCATGGCTAGCCAATGTATGTTAAGCACCTGTAGAAGGGAGTCGCACATTGCTTGGGAGAAGCCAAGCCCCTCTGTTTAAAAGCCTCTGAAGCTGCCCTCGACTCGCAAGAGCTCTTTTAGGGATGAGAACTTTAGTTAGTATCATAACCAAGTTTTGGTGGATTTGGATGTATGTTAAGCCCCCAGCAAAAGGGAGTCGCAAATCGCTTGGGAGAAGTCAAGCCCCTCTTTTTAAAAGTCTCCGGGGTTGCCCTTACCTCACAAGAGCTCTTTTGGGGATGAGGACCTTAGTAATCAGTTCTCTTATTAATTACGTGAATAGATCGAGCTCGTTAGCTTGTGGAGAAAACGGTGGTATCGAAAAATAACAACTTAGGTTGTATCTTTTGTGGGATTCAGTATGGGGTGCCACGGTCTTGATATGTGATTGCCTGGTCTAGTGAAATTACTTTAGAAAAATTAAGTTTGAAAATTGGGGAAATGCTAAAAAAAATTGAAATCAATCGTTGCTTGCGCAAAAAACCAATCCATGATCGGTAAGATGCTATGATATTGGTGAGTTTCAAATATTATTGGTTAAAAAAAATGAAATTGCTAAATTGTTTGTATGGTAATTGGTCAATAATTTAGCAACATTTATCTCAAATTGCCACATTTATTAGATTAATTCCCAATTACAAACTTCCATAATGACTCGTCAACTTTTATTATTTAACTTACCAACCTTTTAATAACAACTACTATATGAGATTATAATCTTAAATGGAATTGTTATAATCTTTTATCCGATGAAGTTACTAATAGTGTTAGGTTACTTACAATTTAGTTTTTTTTTTGCATGTTTCTTTTCAAATTACCTAGGCAACAACTTATCCACCTTCATTTAGGTCACTTGTCAATCTCAATATAAAATTATCCACCTTGATTTAAGTAACTTACCAGCTTTTGTATGATCAAGTTATCGAATTATTTTAGGTTGCCAATTCTTATTTGATTGACTTACCAATGGCTTTTTAGCTATTTTCAAATTACCAACTTTTATAACAGATTACCATCTTTTGCTTTCACATTATTAACATGAACATAGGTAACTTAATAATAGTTTATATATTAAGCAAATAAGCTTTTCCGTCATAATAAAAGTAGTGAATTATTAAAATTTGGTAATTTGGAAATGCTAAATAGAAAGTTGGTAAGCTATTTAATTAAGAATCGGTGATGATTGTCACTCATATCGATGTTGGTAATTAACCATAAGAGTTGGTAACTCTAAAATAATGGATGAGAAGATGCGGGAATAAATGTTGGTCTCCTGTGCAAAATTGATAAGTCATTACAAAAAATTGCAATTTGGAAACAATCAAATACACCTAGGTTATTAATTCAAAGAAGAGTTGTTACCCGCATATCTCGATAACTTCAGCAGATAAATACTGGTAAATCACGCAAATCAGGGTTGATAAATTAATATAATAGTTTGTAATTTTAAATGTGGAGTGAGATACGCAGATAATGTTGGTAGGTTATGCAATTAAAAAAAATGCTAAACTATATTAATCAAGAGTTGATAGCCTAACATGAATTGGTAACTTTACGTGATAAGTCACCTAGAACAGCAATGAAAATTTAATGCAAGAGTAGGTAAACTAAGATACAAAAATGGTTAAATTACATAAATAAAAGTTGGTAACCTATTACAACTTTTAGTGATTGGGAAACAATGAAGTAAACGCTGTTAAGCTATATAAATAAGAGTGGATAACCTAACATTTATTGGGAACTTAATCAGAGAAAAGTTAATAAATCACTCAAAGCATGAATACTAATATGATCAGAGAGTTGGTAACTTTGAAATGACAAATAACAAAAGCAAATTAAATGTTTGATAAGCGACACAAATAAAAACTTGTAAGTTTCACAAAATTTGGTAATTGGGAAATAAAAGAAAAAGTTGATAAGTTATTCGAGTAAGAGTTGGCAACTTAAAACTAGTTTGTAAATTAATAAGAGAAATATTGGTAAGTCATTCAAATTATGATTGGTAGTTTAACGTAAGAGTTGGGCGCATCCATGTACGCTAGAGAGAGAGAGAGAGAGATTCACCAACCTTTCACGCTAGCTACTTCATTTGGATAGCTTTCCTTATTAATTTATATGGCCTTGTTCAAGCTCCGACCGTCTTCCCTAAAATCTATTCCTCTGTTTTCCTTTGTTTTTTCTTTTGCCATTTAAGCTCGCAGTCCATGACCGTCTTCCCTCAAATCTATTCCTTTGTGTGATTCTCGATTTTATATTCAAGTCTCACGAAACAAAAGTGATGCAAATGAATCTAAGGTTCCTATTGTGATTTGAACATATGACGAACACTTCAGCCAACATACTCAAGCAACTCTCTCAAGTACGCTTCACAACTTCATGGAGACATTTCAACCAACAGCCTGCGTGGAAAGAGATTACCAAATCTAGCCATGAAATCGAAATTATTTTCCATCTAAAATCAGTATTTAGAACAAAAATGTCGTCACCAATCATCAACTAATAACTCAGATTTTCAGTGATTTACGCATGAGTTACGTGGACGGAAATTGGTGTCACACTTATCTAGAACAAGGAAGAAAAGAGAACAATTGAATTACCTTGTCGAGGAAGGATTCTCGATTGCGCTTACTACTCGAACTACATGAGGAGGTGCAGCTGGTTGATGCTGTTGGTTTGTGCTTGCACTAGCACGTTTTTGTGTAGCTGATGCAAGCACAAAACTGCACCAACACTTATTTATGCTGGTGCGTGCTCGGCACTGAAATGATTACTTTTAAACAATGACTGGCATTGAAGTAATCGCTTTTTAACAACGATTGGAACTGAAGTGATCATTTTAAAGAAAAATTGACACTTAAACGATCGTTGCTTATTAACTTTTAGACGACGTTGTTTAGGGGTTATATGCTGACTGGGCACATCAATGGGCCACGTAGGATTGAGAAATTAATAAAATATAGCCACGTCGGATTTCCAGTGATCAATATCGAAGTTGACATTTAAGTAATCTCTTTTTTTTTTTAAAAGTGGCATTTCAATGATCTGGAAAAAAAAAAATTTGACACTAAAATGAGCGCCGTACACAACTTTTGACATTTCTACTATCATTTTCCCGATATATTCATCCCTTAAGTTTGGTAGGGTGAACTAGTAATTTCCAAAAACGAAACGTCTTGCAATATTCTTCCCTATATAGCCATGGATCAATGAATTCGTTGAAATTTAGATTCTAGAAGTATTCTTTTTTATGCAAAATGTTTTTGAGATCCTAATATCCTATTTTACCCTTTTATGACCAATGTATATGCCTATATATGATCCTTGCATCGCATTGATATGAAGTTGTGTAAAGTTCCAAAGCAAGTGGGCAGGTTCAAAATTTGCAAACTAACGTCAAGAACAGTGCCATGTAAAAAAACACTTTTTTTTTGTCAAATTGTCACATGTATGATTAAAGCATCAATAGATAATGAATTGTTCATGCAAGTAGCCTTTGTCCATTGATGTTCCTCGGATCCATTCATAGAAACAAAAAAAATAATATATCTTCCCATGAAAGTGCAAGAAGAAAAAATTAAAATAATAGTCTAACGAAGTTTCACAAACCCGTCCTTTTTAAGACAAAAGTCCGAAGAATATTCATAAATTGATTAAGCAAAGACATGATTAAGTAAAACCGACACTCATTACCAAGAATAAGATCCAATGGGGTATGAATACACCGCCGATGGATCAAAGATAAGCTCGTATATATATCCGACTTCGTTTTGCCACACTTGAAAAAGAAGGCGATGGCTCGAAAATGCATATCGGACATCGTTACGACGCGCGCAAAAAAAAAAGCTCGATATCTCATTTTTAGAAGATGAGTTGCGAAAGGAAGCCTCTCGAGGTTAAGCACGAAATTGAAGCCGAAGACCATGAAAAAAAACACCATACAGGCAATAGGAACAGAACAAACTCAGAAACTAATCCCAAAAAACCTACTCTTGACAAAAGAAAGAAAAAGAAAGGACAAGAAGCCCGACAAGATCCAGCAGCACTCTTTGATAATTTTTCCAGCAGCACAATCAATGTTTGACAGGGAGCGCAAGGGAAATGAAGAGCATGGTCAAACTTTTTTGGTAATGATATGTGGCCTACAGACAGACATGCAAGACAGGTGTCATCCCTATCAATCAATAACATTACAGGGATTATTATTATTATTATTATTATCGTTATCATTGTTGCTGTTGTTATCAAAATAATGTGTTTTTTGGTTGAAATTTGCAGCAGATTTTGACTTGCCGGTCCATGAGAAAAACGGGAGCCTAATTTCAATTAGCATCGCAAAACAAGAGACACCAGCTTTCGGACAAAGGCTCGAGCTCGGTGACCAAACTTAGTATATATATTTCTGGTAATTGTTAGGCAGATACACCGGTAATCACTGGTAAACCCGCGCGAAGTTCCCCTTTTCCTTTGTTGTTATTAGATGAAACCGATATGTACTCTTTTTTTTATATGGGGATTGGATTCATCGCGGGTTGACGACGACTTCGATTTCTTTCGTATCTTATACTCTGTAGACCTTTCGAGGCGTGTGGATGCTCGATCACGTGGCGATTCACGGATTCTCTCTGACAAATTTTTACAAGTTTCATTCTTTTTCCATCGTTTTTCCGGGAATTCAAGGAAAGCAATGAGTAAGGTTCATGGAAATGGCGTGCGTTATCGTGCTTGACTTGGTCCATTGCAAGTCCCTAGTCAACCTGGAAAGTGCAGTCCAAATTACGTCGGTCTATCTTCTTGGAGAGGGGAGAAATCTTGAAAATGAAGGCGAACCAATTCACGGGGTCATCATTCAATTGCCTTTCCATTTCAAATTTTAGGACCACCAAAGCGATCCATCTTTCAATCTTCCTCGAAGACCAGAACGAGGTAAAGCATGGCTCCTTTTTTTTTTTTTTTTTAGGTAACCGAGGTGTCAAGCAAGCCATACAAGACTCACTCGACTATTCTCGGGAGACTAAGACAAAGAACCCACCGCCATGGCCCTAACTTAAATCACAAGTGCTCACCAACCTGAATCGAATAACATGGGACCAAGTGCGCTTAACCACACAATCCCAAAGACGCCCTAACCAACTGCTCAACGTGGCTCCTTTTGCTCTAAAATTGATGCTATCAAGCTCCTTGATTGATTGCCCCTCCTTTTACGCGTCCATTGACAAATGTGTACCTTTTTTTCAAAGACCAAAGCGATGACGGGTGGGGTCTCAAATAAACATTGTATTTTTATAGGAAAAGTCGTCCAAGAAGTCATAAATTTATTGTACGGCTGCCAGTTCAGTCTCGAAACTTTTCAATGTGACTAATTCGGTCATGAACTTTTTGACGATTTGGACGAGGGTTGCGACCCTGTGATTGCATGCGACACGTGGTTGAGGTCTCTCCTTAGTTTTGTTCCTTAACCATGTCTTGACGTCGTGTTTTTTCCTTCATGATGTCTCGGGCGTATAGCTCGGGTGCTTGGCGTTCTTCCTATGACGACAACACGCGTGCAAAAAACGTAGAGACAAGAAGATGAGATGGTGAAACAAAATCCAAAGCCATTCCCCACAATTCTTGGTTATCCAAATATGATTACCCTCGGGAGGAAGGGGCCAATTTTGCCTACCGACTACTGCCTATGACGTCGAAAACTTTGATTTCTGGTGGGGGAAAGAACGACACACGATGCATGGACGTGGGTTTGGAAAGCCAAATGCAGAGCTTGTTTAAGAATGTTTCGTGTAGTCATGCGCTTGTGAAGGTCCCTTTCCTGGGACAGAATCATCTCACCAGACGTTGTACGGCATCTTTCGCTTCGTGCCGTGTTTGTAGTCAGGTTTGTGGCTTACTTATGGATAGTTCGCGATTACATGACGACCGAGAGATGATTGGAACCTCTTGTTTCTCCTAGCGAGATAGTGTCATGGGTGATCGCTAAACTTTCACGCAATGTTAAACGCGGTCCCTAAGTCATTTGTTATCTAATTCAATGTCCCGAACATTTTAAATTCGGGTTCAATGGTATCCTTATGACCAACAGAAATTGTCCATGTCCAATTGGACAGGCCAGATGCTTCCACATCCTCATTGAAGAGGCCCACTTACATTACAAAAAAAAAAAATTCCTGTTCTTCTTTCCTTCTGTTTTTTTGCCCATCTCCTCCTTCCTTCCAAGCCATGCTCCACTGTCGTTGCCGTGCAAACCATCGTCTTCCACACCGTCTCTGTGCCGTGGTGAACCATCAGCTTCCATCGCCTCGTCATCTTCGCCACCGTGGCCGACCCCGTTGGCCATCGCCACCCACCCCCCCGCACACCACCTAACTTCTCTCTCTTTCTCTCTGTCTCTCCAAAATACGCAAATACGAGGCGCTGTTGTCTATGGCGTCGCACCTACAATCTCGCCTGTCGCGTGGCAAAGAAATAGAGAGAACAGATGCAAACCATTTTTCATAGGCGTTAAACTTCCTCAGCATGTTTGTGACAGTACAAGCATCGCGAGCGACTTCCATCGGGGAAAAGGCAAGAAGGAAATTTCCCCTTAGCCTTTGAAATTACATGCATTCGGTATCTTTTGAAGCATCCGAACCACATGTCGCTCAAAGGAACAGAGTCGACTAGACCTGATCATGAATCGAGCAGCAGCAGCGGCGGCGTGAAGTTCCAAACTTACAAAACCGTGGCTGGCTTGCTCATGAATTAGCTTAACATTTTGGGCGGGCCTGTCGGGCCGTAGCCCAAACAGGAAAATGCCCGTGCGAGCCCGAACCGACTTCTCCTCAAGCCCAGGCCCATCGGGCCGAGAGGCCCCCGCGCTCGGCCCCCTCTTGAAGTTGGCGAGGCGAAGATGGAAAGGGAAGAACCCTAAAAAACCCTAAGAATCCCATCCACGCCTCATCTCGTGCCTCTTTTGAAGATCCGCCGGAATCATCGTCGCCGTCGTGTTCGTCTCCGAGCGCTGAGCTGATTCCCAGGTGGGTACCCCAATGCGATCTTGTTTGCATCGCCGATGAATCGCTAGGACAAGAGATGATCGAAGTAGCTTTTTCAGCTCGGATTGCGGTGATTTGATTTGCTCCGGTTCGTCTCTTGTGGGAGCTCTGCGCTTCCGATGCGTGCTTGTTCGTCATTGTTCGATCATGGGGTGGTCTTGTCCGTGTGAAAGTTCGAATTTTTAAATTTTTTTTGGTGGTGACGAGTCCGATTGAATCCGTTAGTTGTAGAATCTTGACGAGGAGGAGGCATTGTATTGAAAGGGGGACAAGAGGAAGCTTGTACGAGAGTCGGGTTTTTTTTTTTTTTTTTTTTCTCTTGGGGTTTTATGTCGGAGATGGAAGAGAACGACTCCGATGCTCCGGAGGAGCTCACGGTTGAACAGGTCTGAACTTCTTCTTTTCAAAGTTCAAAACTTGATTTTTTCGGTGACCCATTTCTTTGGGTTTGATTTGGGTGCTGAATTGATTTGGGAATGGCGATGTGACTTTGTTTTGGTCTTCTATTTTACAGGGTTTTCATCAGGACGAGGAGTTAAGGAAGATCCAGAAAGACAATAAGGCCAGGTATGCGTGGCTGAGAAGTTCTATTACAAGGATTAAAGATATCGTAACATTGGTTTTTTAAGTATATGATGGGGTTTCTATGTTTTTGAAATGCCTCCATTTGCATCGCATTAGATACGAAAAGCATTTTGGTTCACATGACTGTGCAATGGCTCTATGCTTAGACCAAATGCTAACCTAAAAAGCTTGCGCGTGTCATAAACTGGTTTCCTCTTGGAGAGTCCTCTACGTGGCAATTTGGGTTTTTAATCTCGTGTTCGCTTTCGTGAAAAACTACCTATTGAAGTGGAAGATGTCATTTTATCTGAGCACATGATGAAGTAAAAAAAGAAAAAACAAATGATGCCTCAACTACTTGGCTCGACTTAGTAGGATACACATGGTGGGTTTTGGTTTGATTCGAGTAGGTGTGCCTTTATACTAGGTTTCATTTCTATTCTCCTCTGGATGTTTATTCTCACCGCAGCATTTTATGATGGACTTTTTCCATGTAGAGTTACTCGTGAAGGAAAAGAACGCCGAAGACTATGGGCTCAGAGGAAAACACCTCGACCTTCTAAAAAGCCTAAAGATGACCAAGAGATTGCAGAAAATGGAATTGAGGAGGATGGCAATGAATCTCCGGAGAGGAGGGGAATGCTCCCAAACGAAATCGTCAACCTGCTTGCTGCGCGTGAAAAGTATGATATCTTTATGTTCCTTGTAAATTTTAACCATAACTTCTCTATCTTTGGATGTCGTGTATGACCTAGAGGATATCGTTCTCCCACAGACGAGTTTTCTCTTCAGACTCGGAGGATGAACGGGCTGAAATCAAGCCAGTTTCACGAAAGAAGAAAGTTAAAAGATCAGGGTAAACACTTCATCTATCAGGGGAAGAGATTTCTTTCTGCATTGTAATGCCTTTGAAGTTGCTGTATAAAATTTGTTGAATTCGGTTATACAGGTCAGGACCTATTATTTTGAAGGAGATACCACCTCCTCAGTGCTTACAGAGTTCCTTGGAGTTCTTGAAGAAAAGGAAGATGCAGGTTTCGAGGTCATCCTCCGTTTTGAACAACCCAAACCAAGCCTTACGATTTCTCTCTAATTCCGGCGTGTTGAGCAAGAAATGAAATGCTCTCCAATTTTGTTCTTTTTTGTCGGAATAGAACCAGGGAGAACTCGTTGTGATGATAGGTTATTGGAAATTACCCTCGGTATACTATTTGTCGTGATGAGGGCATGGCAGAGAGATTTGATGGGATATGCTGTGTCATAGTCGTTCCTTGACCCTCCTTGTTCCTCTCTTTCCAAATTCTTAAATGTTGGCAGTTGTTTAATAACCTTAAATTTATCAAGCCAGAATGCCGGCCTTTTTTTGAGCATTTGATAGTGTTCGGTTGTTATATACCCGACATTATATTCAAATGAGTGATCAGAATAGCGATTTATGTGTAACAGAGAGGTTTGCTAAGGCTCGAGTGGGTTTGGCTTGTGGTGAACTAGAGCGATTCAGAGTGATATGAGTAGTGTTGAGCATGGTGGTCATTGGGATGGCATTGGATGGCGAGGGAGTAGGCGGAGGTGGCCGTTGTTGTGGCAGTATTGCTAGCGGTGGAGGTGCTAGAATGGCAGTAGTCACATCGGTGCAGACGATTGTGATGCCGTGATGTTGGTGATATGGCGTGAGATTATGGTGTTGGCGATACTGTTTATCCTTAGTCACAACAAATATAGCTCTTAACAATTATAGAATCTCTAACGCCCGAGTGGGTTTGGCTTGCGGTGAACTAGAGCGATTCAGGGTGATATGAGTAGTGTTGAGCATGGTGGTCATTGGGATGGCGTTGGAGGGCGAGGCCGTAGGCGGAGGTGGCCATTGTCGGGGCAGTATTGCTAGCGGTGGAGGTGCTAAAATGGCAGTAGTCACACAGTGCAGACGACGGTGATGCTGTGATGTTGGTGATATGGAGTGAGATTATGGTTCTGGCGATACTGTTTTTCCTTGGGCACAACAAATATAGCTCTTAACTATTCGACATTCAATTGACTGAAGCGAGGTTGTTGATCACACAGAGAGATATTTGATCTTCGCATATAATTCAGTCAATGGGACGGCCTGAGGCAAAGCTATTACAATTTTATTTTGAAGCTACATTTGCCTTGATCATCTGCAAAGAAAATGTCTGCTGAGCATGCATCCATCACATGCAACTCTGCCGTTTCATCCGGTGTCATCTTTGTCGAGGAAACTCAATACAAAGCCGCTCACAATCCTACGAACTATTGGATTCGGAATACACCGGCAAAGCCGACCATCGACATAGGCTACAATTCCTGATACCACAAAATGGCCTATGCCCCATCTCCAAGTGAACCGCACCTTCGGCTGTTCTATGGCGTCTTTGGCGGGAAGATTGTCTTCGTGATCACGCTGTTTCAACGTTTTGAGCTTGATGTTGGCTGTATGTCTCCTGGCTTGGTTTTTCAGCACGCGGATTGCAAAGCTCACAAAGAGGTGCTCGCACAATGTCAATACCGTCGGTCCAATTTTCCATTGCTGCAGATAATGCTATAGTGATTACTAAAATCTAAGCAGTGGGTCCACATTATTTCATCTATATTCGACAGACAAAACTATCATATGGAACCCTCGGCAATTCAAGCAAAGCCAACTTGTTGCCCAGTCATTTGGGCCTTCTTTTGCCCCAATAGAGCAATTGCTTCTCAAATTTACGGGAAAATTGTCCAAAAATTCTTAAACCTATTGTACTTTCGTCAATTCAGTCCTAAACATTTAAATTGTGCCAATTGAGTCTTAATCCTTTTCACGTTTTGTCAAATAAGTCCATTCGACCAATTTTGGCTAGAAATTGCATAGACTCGATTGGCAAAAGTGCAATAGAATTAGAATTTTTTGAACAATTTCCCCCAAATTTGCATAATAACACACATTTGGCGCACAAAGTAGTCTAGTGATTCTATGGACTTAGAGCCATGCTAAAGGTGATAAGTTATTGGAACCATGCCAAAGGAGGAGACTAAATACTCTGAAATGTAGTGGCCACTGGTTTTCCTAAGTTGCAGATGTTATAGAAAGCTAGCAGCCAAAGGGGCTCAGAATGTGCCGTGTAAATTGGGCAGGCATTTTGACCAAAAAAAAATAAAAAAATTGGGCAGGCATTGCAAAGCAAATGTTCTTGCAATTCAGGATGGGCGATTGGCTGATTATCTGTAAATTAAGTTCTCTTGTAGCTTTTGCTGGAGATGTCTAAATGCAGAACTCTTGAAAAGATTATAGAAATCAATGCAAGCCAACACTTACACTTTCTCCTCGGAGATGGCGTAAAGGGCGAGAAGTAGTGGAAGGATCTCCTTTTAACAGGGCTTTGCTTACAAGGAACCCTCTCACTCGGTCCATGATCTCCTCTATAAGTGAGCTGCTAGGAGGCAGGTTCTTTAGGACAACCTGTCATTATGGACAAATACATAAACACGAATGCTAACTTAAGGCATCTAGAATGATAGTTGCATATATCTACTATCGAGCACGGAGGAAATAGTCTCTGGGAGTGCTGTCCTCAATATAATGCAACTGTATATAAAGGTATCCTGTGTCGTAAGTGGGAAAACCTTTTTGGCTATTTGGTTGCCACTTGTCTGACATAGCCATTGGTCCAAATATAACGTAAGAGGGAAAAATGATTTCTACTTCCTATTCCTAATGAGGGTGCACCACGCGAATAAACCTTTTGAGACTCTGAAAGCTTCTGTACAAAGGCTTTTTGGATTTACATTAGTCTTTCCTATATGGAATAGTCAAAGTTCAATTAAATAGGGAAATAAAGTACATGAATGAGTTTGTCTGAGAGCATGATATACTTGGCATAACTATAAGTAAAGTTCCCGTTACGGATGAAAACAGAAAAGTCTTTTCATGTTCAGAGTACAATATATGTAACTGACTGGAAAGATGAAATCCTGGAACTTTTATTTCCATGTACCTGATTGTCGATAACTCTGACTCTTAGATATTCCTGTTTATAGATAGTATCCAACATAGCCTGCAGGTACCCCTCTATATATAACTGCAAAATTGACATAACCACTATCAGTCATTTTGCAATAGTAAACAATACGTAAGGACCATTCCTACGGCGATGGAAAAGCAGTCCAAGAAGGGCCCGTTTGGTAACGTGCCAAATAGTGAAAATTTCTGTTCTTTTGTTCCCGAAATAGTTTGGGAACAAATGCGTTTGGTAAATTTTTGTTCCTTGGCACATTTTTGCAAAATTTGTGCCGAGAAATAGTTTTGGAAGAGAAACAAGAAGTAAAAAAAGTTGCTTCTTGTTTCTCGGCACAATTTTGAGAATCGGTTTTTTTCTTTTCTTATTTTTGTGTTTCTTCCCTCGGCTAGGCGGGCCGGCCGGCGGTGGGCTGGCGCGGCGACGCTGCACCCTGTGGCCGGCAAGGGCGTCACGGCCCTCGCCGCCGCCGCGAGAGCGAGGTCGCCTCGCCGGCGAGGCGGTGGCTGGACCTCGCCGCCCGGGCGAGCGGCCTCGCCCGATCGAGCGAGGCCGAGCCTCGCGTCCGTCGCGACGGCGAGGTCGGCCTCGCCCGCAGACGACGGGGCTCGGCCTCGCCCGGATCCGGCGAGGCCGAGCCTCGCCGTCGCGCGACCCACGGCGAGGCCGACCTCGCCGTGGGTCGCGACGGCGAGGCTCGGCCTCGCCGGATCTGGGCGAGGCCGAGCCCCGCCTCTGCGGCGAGGCCACCTCGCCCGGGCGGCGAGGGTCCGCCTCGCCCTCGCCTCGCCGCCGCGGCCGTCGAGGTCCGTGACGCCCTCGCCGGCCACGGGCGTGGCCGTCGCCGTGTGACCGCCATGGCCAAAGAAGAAAGTAGAAAGAAAAAAAAATTAAATAATCCAAAATATTATTAAAATATTATTTGGGAACAAGTAAATTTTGTGTAGTTACTAAACGCATTTCTGTTCTTTTCTACTCTAGGAATAGAAATTTTGGACGGTTTATCAAACGCCTTCAAATACTCGAAATTGTTTCCGGGCACGAATTAAAAAAATCATTTCGTTCGAAATAGCGCCCGGGCACAGAAATGGTATTCATGCGCATCCTAAGTTTCCATTTTCTCTTTTATCCTATATCGATTCTGCCCATTTCTAACTAAATCCACATTTGAACAAAACTCTTAATGTTCGTAAGAGAAATTTCCTTGAAATACAATAGCTCTTTCCATAAATACAGCTATGGCCGACTTCTTACAGATGCAGGAAAGATAGTTTGCCTGTTATGAAGATATAGATGGCTCTACAAGCTGGTAGTTGGTACAGCATACTAAATCCTACTCTACTTTGGTTTTTCTAAAGGCATGAGCTATATCTACTAGAAGAAACTTCTTACATGGATTAACACCCCCTTAATACCTGTCCCAGAATTATCTCTACTACTACACCCTCCCTCCCTCCCCCTCCCCCGAAACCAAAAATAAAAAAGAAGAAAGAAAGGAGGGCAGAGAGGAGGGTGGGGGGTGGGGAGAAGGTTCATTCATGAATGACCAAGATAGTACCTCATCCACTCCGGGACTTTGATCAAGCTTTATCGTCCTATCTGGGCCACCTTCCAATAAAGCACTACCCAAAACTGATGGCTCCATAGCCAGAGTCAGTATTCCTTGGTGAAAACCCTTGATCTGAACAGCAACAAATAGATGTCATGTCATCATAATGTCCCAACAAAGATGATAACTCATACCTCAGGAGAAACGCAGGACAGCGATAATATTAGAAGTTGGTATAATGCTTCACATTATAGTACCATTCCATCAAATCCACTTGTTTCTGCTCCCCTAAGAACAGAATCTGATATTTCAGTGACTGCAGCAAATAGCACGTTTGATCCTGCTGTTCTCAGCTGCAAGAAGCACCACATGTTTAGAAATCCGGTGAGTACAGAAGAAATAACACCTTCAATTTGGAAAGACGTATAAATGCTTACAGTCTTTCCTAAGTCGCCAAAGTAGCGCCTTGTCCCTGAGAATCCTTTCCCGCCAATTCTTTTACTAATCAATTTGAAGGTATCTGTGGAGAAGGTTTCCCTAGAAACAATAAGACAATGGAGAAGCTTTGGCTCCTAAAGGAAATAAATACAGCTGACATTTGAGCACTATGTGGTAAAATCAGCTTAAGAAGTCCACCAACATGTCATTTAAAAATGCAAATTACACAGCAACCAAAAGAGTTGCTCAACTTTTTCCTAAAGGAAGTAAGTAAACCATTGCAGTTCACCAAAGAGTTTAGGGTATGAAACACAAGT